GAACATCCTCTAAACAGGTACGTAGCCAGGAATTCGGAGGCAGCTGATTTTTTGCTGCCTTCACCAGTAGGCTCCTCCCAGGAAGCCCCTGGTCTTCTGCTTTCTGGCGCATATGCGCACAAGAAGACCAGCTGGCTGGTGTGCATTTGCATGCCGGAAACCAGAAGATCATCTTCCCAATGCGCGCATGTGCACAGGCAGCTGCCCTTCTGTTTCCAGCACACACACGTGCACTCCTGTTTTGGCACTCAGTGTTGAAAAAGTTTACCAACACTAATCTAGATTAAGCTTTAAACTGCCAGATCTTTAAATCTTCTTGGCTTTGTCGTTGGCCAAACATAAGTGATTATTGGTGTGTGTTTCTGGTAGTAGCTGACATATCAGCAGATGCACTGGGCTCTGTCCCTCTTCACATTCGTATAACGTGATGATTGTCTGAAATGGTATACGGCTTCCTGTCAGAGCAAGGGGTTGGACTAGAAGATCTTCAAGGTCCCTTCCAACTCTGTTATTCTGTTAAGAGCCTCCACTTGAGTATATTGATTTTACACTTAATGCACTCCAACCCTCAACCTATTCAGGGCCCTCCAGGTAGTAGCAGGGAGGTCAGATCCTTCAGCTATATCCTCTTTTAATATTATTCCTTGCCCAATGGTTTCCTTCCTCCATCTTTTCATTCAACTTTGTTCTTGTCCATGTATTTTTTTTCCTCTGGGTTCAACATGAATCCTCTTCAAACACTGAGCTTGTTGATCAGAATGGTCGACAGTTCGACGGTTCAAATTCCTAGTACAGGTCTCCTGTGTGACCAGGGGGTTGGACCAGATGACCTCCAAGGTCCCTCCCAACTCTGTTACTGTCTGTGTATACTGATCAAAAGAGAGAAAACTATGGATGTGAAATAAAAGTAGAAAGAAAAGCTGCATGGCTATTGCCTGGATCCATGGGAGAGTAGACTCCAAATATCTGCAAGATATCAAATTGCGCTTCCTATTATAGAACTGCATGGTGTTCTGGGCCCCCTCCGTCCGGTAATGAACGCAGACACAGGTTTAGCTATTTGCCACTCTTTATTCACTGCAATTATAATTCTGTTGGC